AACATTTCTGTTCAATCTTCTCCTGCCACACAACTATCCGGCCCACCGTGGAACAAAGCGACCTGCACTCAAGCTGCAGCCCCACGCAGACCAGCTGTTAACATCAAGGCAGCTGCCTGAACTCTCTTCGCCCCAGTTTTTTAATCAGTAAAGTTGATCAGTAATAATAGCTACTTCCGAGAGCTGTTGTGATACCCAAAGGAGTTACTGCACGTAAAACACTTACTGCCTAGTACCGCAAGTGCGCTTTTATCCATTTATTATATTTTATTATCCTAGTACAGCAAATGGATTTTGTTATCCACTATTGTTACATAAACATTTAAGGAAAACAAGATAAAGTAAGTGAAAGTTCAACTTGTGGAAGATAAACACTGTACGTACTAACACTCTAGGATTTAAGCTTTATTTATTGAAAAGTAAATATTCAAAATAAAGTTATCCTTTTCACAAGACATAAAAAGCCTAATTATCCAGCAAGTGGATGGTATTAACAAGGATAATAATAAAACCACCGAAGTGGCGAAACGGGACAGTACCTCTGTCATTAAGCGTTTCAGTCCTTCAACTTCATCTTCTCCGGGGTTAAGTTCACCACCAGGCCTGCAGAAAGGTTAAGAAGTTCAGCGTTCGATTCAGTGCAATTTGGGGAGAGACAGTAATACTTTCTTCTGTCAAGTAACTGAATCACACACATTTCAGTGTCACATGGAGAGGCAGTCAAAGGGAGGGGGGAACGTGCTAGACACAGAAAGCCAAATCCGCGCTAACTTGCCAGACTAACAGTAACTTAAACTCTAATTTTAAATAAAGTACGTACCGCAACACAAACACGACATAATTGCTGACCACCAGCCCACCCCAGTCTCTTTTTTCCAGCAGCTGGCTAGTGCTAGTGAGCTCTACGAGTGTCCAGAGGGCAATGAACCACGCACTCTCTAAGTCTGAAGAATGGGGCGTTTTCCCAGAACGCCAGCCTAAATATCTGAGACCTCTTTTGGTACAATCTGGTCAAATTGTTGTGAACTAGATGTGTATCGAGAAATTCATGAGCTTAAATGGTAAAGCTAAGTAATTATCTATACATATATAAGCCATTTTAAGAATAGAAAATACTATTCATCCAAAGAAATAATATCAACTGTTTCTAGTAACGCTACGGTGACATCTAGTCATTGAACTGGGGGTCGATTTGTTTAGCAGGGCTCCTACCAAGCCCCATCATTAATGTCAACAACGCACGGAAACAGGCAGACTTCCAGTTGGGCAATAAAGGACCAGTGCCCTGGAGAAAAATTACTTGTGTCACTCTCTTTCTAAAGACCCCAGAACAGCCCTGTTGGTTGAGATAGATGCCTAGCACTAAAACTCTACTCCGAAACTGCATAAAACAGCAATCCTATTAAGAGCTGCCTTGCTGTCAATTTCCCCCAACACTTACAGTTTGAAGAAAGTCGTCCCCAGCTGCAGCAGGAGCACGTGGGGTAGCCGGTGCTCATGGACAATCAGAACCCCCTCCACAGTCCTCCTCATTCCAATTTTATCAAATTCCTCCCTCATGCGTTGAAACCTGGCTGCAACAGAGCTATCCTTCTCATAGAGAGGCTCTTTTGTGCCGAAAGTATAATTGGTGAGAGGGTACCTGTGATCCAAAGACAAACACTGCACATAAGAACTGGAGACCGTAATTTACCACCACAGACACCAACCACGTTAAACACACACACACACACACACGCTCACTCACTCACTCACTCTACGGTAAAAAGTGTATATACTGTACTCAGAGCCATAGGATTTGTCCAAAGTTACACAACTAGTTAATGAGACAGCAGAGACTAGAATCCAGGACTTGGGACTCTAAAGCCAGAGCTTGTATTAGGTCAAGCCTGTTATTCGACACTTGAACTTTTCAAGTGTAGGTAACACTATCCTTAAGGCCTTTAAATGCTTAAAAGAGTGGTGATCTGGACATCTGGTTGTGGCTAGTGTAACGGCATTGCCAAGCTGGCCAATGACTCCGGCTCCTCTGACTGCTAACCTAATCGGAAATTCTATTGATTACGGGCACTAACAGCTAATCTCTGTTTCTACAGGTCCAACCAACACTTCAGTCATCTCTCCTGTTTTCTCTACTTCTCCTAGTCAACTATCCTGAGACTTTCCTGGACCACTATCCTTTCTCCTTCAGATACACTTTTCTTTCCCCTTTAAAACCTTTTCAGCCTTCTGCATTTATTTCATTCATCACCCTTAGTCTTCCCTTCTCCTCATGCAATCTTCTGTCCATCATTCTTAACCTGAATATTTGCTCCTCCTTTATCCAGAATTCAAAATATGGCTCATATTGCTGAAGACAGTTTTATATGTTGCCCAAATATTTCCTTAAAAATAATTTAAATGAGCATATTTATATTTCTATCACACATATCACCTTCTAACTCTTCAATCTTAAGACTTACAGTAAGTCTTCGATAAGAAGAATGCTTTGGCCACACTGCCTATCCACACTGCCCAAAGTATCTATCTACTTTATAAAAATTCTTTGATCTAAATCAGTAACTACATAACTAATCCACTCCACTTTATTCTTGGAAGGGGAACAAATCAAGGTTGCCAACACTTAAAAAGGTAATTCCAGAAGCCGAATTCTAAGCATACATGAAGCAGCTCTTAGACACACCATTTCCAGGGTGCGTTCAACATTAGCAGAAAAACATTCCCCAGCAGTTCTGATGCTGAATCTGATATCATCGTTAGCAGTAGCAACCTCACACAGCACTGTGTGCCAGGCAGTTTTTAAAAATGCTTTATATAGATAAACACCTAGTTCTCACACACTAAATTATAAAGCATTGAGGACAGCTGTAACACATCTCTACTACAAGAGCCAGCTCTCACATCAATAAGGAGATGCAAGCAAGATGACGTGGAATTTTCAGCTGTGAAGTCAGGGCCAGCCGGGACACATACATATTATTGCCATCACACTGTGAGCTTTATAAAGCAGGGATGACATCTTATTTCCTCATCGCTGTTTACCCAAGCATTATGCCCAGTGCCTGGTACAACGTAGGCATTTGTGCAGTATTTTCCTGAAAGAAAATACCAAGGGAGAGAGGACTTAATCTCCAGTTGAGATTACTCACACACGAGCTGAGTCTACAACCTGATGATTATTTCAGAATACGTTATTTATATAGGAGAGGAAAAGTACTGTAAATCCATCAACCAGTAACTTTGATGGAGAGTAAATTAAAATATTTTCACCTAATTGGCTGAAGGCAAACTGCTCGAATAATCAAGGCAAACTGCCGGAGAGCTGTGGGTCCTAGACCAATCGACACCAAATGTGACCCGGACGCTGCGCTTCCATATTTTTTAAAAAGGGGAACATCTGCCTTTCCCACTTCATGGGAATCTTATGAAAAATTTTAAAAGAATTGATGTGAAATTAAAAATGTTACTATGTCAATATAATAGCTATTCACTTGCATACATGCAACTACCTACTAATTCTCACACACCTAGAATTTTTGTTATTTAAATTTCTAAGCCAGCATGTTTTGCCAAACAAAACAATAGCCACCCTTTCCATTTCAAACCACTTCTGAGGGGTAAAACTCATTTGTTTGAAAATAAAACAGAGAAAACACCGAAAGTGTCCTATAAAAACGCCAGTATCATCAGTAAACCTTGCATCTTTTAAACGCTGACCAGAATTAAGAGGCCACCTTCCTCCATTGGGGCCAGCCAGCATCGCGGTGCCTCACAAACCCGCAGGAACGGTAAGATTAAAGAGCATACTATCGAGTTCTTGAGCAGGAAGACACAGCCCAAATGTCAATCACCTGCCACAGCGAGGTTACTTGTGAGAGTGAACTCGAAATGCAATGGCTTTGGTGCTTAAACAGAAAGGTGTAGATAACACAACGCAGCCACAGTGGGTTCCCTGGGTTGCACCATAGACCCCTCCATGGTCTGAAAGCCCAATCCTAACAGCATCCACCTTCCCAAGCAGGGGCCTACGGGGCGCCTGGATGCTCCCACAGTGTAGAGGCAGAGAAGACTTGTCAATGCATAGTGCAGTCCAGATAGCCCGAAGCACACGAATAAAATGCATGCTTCTGAGCTGAAATGCAGTATAGCGGCTAAAAGAAAAAAGGCTAATATAGAAAGATCTCGAACGCTCTCTGTTAGAATGATAAGCACCATGTTTTGCGGTTATCTCTGGAGAGATGGAGGAAAGGAAGAGTTCAAAGCAAACTAGTGTTTTTCCTAAGACCTAATCCAGGGCTTGGGAAGAAGACTTCTTTCAGGAAAAGGAAAACCTTCTCAATTAGGACGCTAACGCCTAGGCGCTGGAGAACAAGGGGTCTGCGGAAGCTAGAAAGGCCCGCACTCACGAGTGGGAGTCCGGGCAGTGGGGAGGCGTGGAGCCTGCGAGGGCCCGGGGCGCGCTGGAGAAAGATTGGAGCCTGTAGCATCGCTCACTAGAAAGGTAAGCCGGTGAAAGCAGCGCGGGAAGGGCGGGCCGCACTTACAGGTTGATTGTGCGCTCCAAGGTGAGGGGCTTGGTCTGCTGAATGTACTTGTTGCCAAACTGGTTGACGCCCCGGGGCCAGCCGGTCTGCGAACGATTGGGCGGCACCACCGACATGCTGGCGAGCACTGGCGGCGAGCAGAAAGAGGAGGCAGGGACACGTTCCCGGTGCGGGTAGCGGTCGTCTGCGTCCCACTCAGCAGCCGCCGCCCGCCATTAACAGGGGAGCGCTGGAGGAGGTGTACGCACGCCGGAAGTGCACCGAGATCCTCCGGCGGCAGGAAGTAGAGAGGCGGTGGCCAGCCTGGGCGAGCACCATTGGAACGGACGCTGGTGGGATGACCGCAATATCTGGAGTTCCCATTGGTAAATCAGGTATGGGTTCCGCCTTCTTTCGCTTTAATACTTTCTATTGGATGGCTCTGGGAAATAATGCATTCTGGGAATTGTAGTCTCCATAGGAAAAGAGCTGCTGGATCGGCGTGGTGTGGGTCTGTAGCCCTAGAGGAGATGAACGGGAAGAGGCCGGCTGAGCCCACCCCAGGCGGGACTGGGAAGAAGAGAAAGAAGGAGGTCATGGTGGAGTTTTCGAGTGCTGTCACGGAGGAAATCTTGAAAAAGCAGGTGGCTGAGGCCTGGGGCCGCAGGACGCCGTTCAGTCACGGTAACCTGCTGCTGCGGAGAGGGGGCATTCGCGCGATGTCTGGGGGCCTCTGAAAGTCCTGGTACTTGAGCCGAGCCCCGGGCAGCGAGAACACAAGGATAGAGGCGCTTGGAGGGAGCGTAGCTTTGGCCACCTCCGGCCCTCCTGCCGGACCTCCTGCCCCCTTTCATTCCAAATTTGGTTTGGATTTAGAAACCCGAGAATAGGGAGAATTGTGGGCCAGAGAGTTTGGGGGAGTAGAGGGCGTAAACTTCGTAGCTGACTTCTGGATTCAAGGATAATCGACTTTGAATTCTGTCCACTGGTCCTCGTCAGTGGGTTTAACTTTTTAGTTCCTTCAGTTCCTTCCTGTGTAAAAAGGGATAGCTAATAGTATTTACCTCGGAAAGATGTTGAATGAGATTAATAAAGTAACACACGTACGTATGCATGAATAAATGGTTCCCTGAGTAGGGACTAGTAAACACTCGGACTCACAGTTTGGTGGCTTCAGTGACATTTTCCTCTAAAGATAACACTCGGTTGTGCCATGACAGTGTAGCCAGAGTATTACAGCTGGTGAGTACACACGTTCCCTGAGCGTACCTGATTTTTTACGTGCCTGTAGTTCAAGTACATGACCTATGAAAGTAAATGTGTGTTGCCCAAAGAAGGAACCTGTAATGAACAATTCCAAGCTCAGCTTCATATGTCACCTTAGAAGACACAATGTCCCCTCCCTGCACCACGCTTTCCCTTCTCAAGTTTGCAGTGATTTTTGTTTCAGTGAAGTGTTTTGCGAAGGTGAGTCCTGGGGGCTCCAGATGCACCTGGAAAGTGACAGCCCCAGTGGTAGGCAGCTGCCTGGGTTGACTTGTACCTAGGCAAGCGCCTCACTGCTGGGAGAAGAGCAGCCATAGCTGGTTGGAATTCTGGCCTTGGTTCCTGCCAGCTCTGTTGTGAACTATACCAGGATGCCAGCATAGTTGAAAACGGAAAAAAAAAAGCAGTAGCTCAGTGTTTGAAGTGCGAGCTGAGTACACCCTGGAGCTTCTCTGTTTCCCCCTCGGTAGGAGGGAATGCTGATTCAGCCTTTGAGTCGGGGAGAAGATGGAATGAGATAATGCACATCGAGCAGATAACCGTGCCCCACATTTGGTGGGTGCCGACGATGATTGTCGGAGGGGTACACAATCTAACCCACCAGAGACAGTGGATAATATGTGGAAAGAGAAGTCAAGGAATTCAAAGGGGCTATGCTGAACTGATTTTTTTTTTTTTTAAGAAAAAACTAAGTATATATGTAGTAACAGCCTGAGACAGTAACTCAGGAAAGGAAAGGGGTTGAAGGAAAATTGCCAGCCATTATTGCAATTCTCATTTTTAATTTGCTACTCGCATTTTAAGCTTGGGGGGAAAGGACTCTAAAGGACCTTCAATTCAACATGTAAACATGAAAGTGACCCCCCCCAGAGCAGGAACCATAGCATAGTGATAGCACATGTACTCATCTTAAGGCCTAATATTTTAAGCACATTATCTTTGAAAAAGGAATATTGAGTGGGTAAAGAAAAAAGGGAAGAGCTTATCATTCTTCCCCCAAATTTTAGACTTTAGGTACTAGGTTCCTGACAATCCATGACCATGGCCTTTTGTATTCGCTGTGCTATGCTACTCAGGGGTCAAAAAAGCCATGTTTTCTTTCCCCCAGAAGCCATTGTCATGCACATGGACCCCTTTCTTCACTGCGTGATCCCAAACTTCATCCCAAGCCCAAACTTCTTGGAAGGGCTTCAGAAGGAACTTTTGAACTTGGACTTCCATGAGAAGTATAATGATTTGTATAAGTTCCAACAGGTATTTATGCCCTTCTCCACTCATTCTTCCACTTCAAAAATGTATTTTTTGTACAGTCATTCAGTACCTTTAGACTTGAGGTTTTAGATGGGATTTGCCTTGGAGGGTCCTTGCCTTGATGTTATTAAGAGCATTCATTCCTTTAACATAAGCCTACTGAGTGTTAACTGTTAGGTGCCATAATGATTATATGGGAGTCTTTGTCAGTTCTTTCCCTGTAAGACTTTAAAACCTAAAATAATAAAGGTGATAGTGATGGTGACAGTCAGAAAAGAGAGTAAGCCAGTACACGAGCACATTGTAAACAGAGGGGTGGAGTGCATTTGGGGGTGGTATACCGAAGAGAGTTGTACATTGGAAGATCGTAACCATTCACATGTTTGAGTTCATGGCTTTGTCTAGGTGGCTGGATGCATTGCAATAAGCCATCCATTCAGTGTGTCCTGTGTTGCACACCTGCAAATGGATAAAATGATAACCTCATTACATGAATTTTATCTCAATGTGAAAAAGTGTGAGTGCGATCATGTTGTTCCTTTGCTCAAAAACTCCAGTGGTTCCGGGTGTTTTTAAGTCAGACCCGAAGTACTTCGCACGGCTCTGAGGCCCCCACTGCCTCCTGGGCCTCATCTCCTGCTGTCCCGCTCACTCTCTGCTCTAACCACACCGTCCCCTGGTGATTTCCTGAACTGGCTATGTCTGCTTCACCCTCGGGGTGTCGAATCCTCTTCGCTGGTCCTTTGTCACACTTTGCCACCTCCTTCAAGTCTTCGCTTTACTTCAGTGAAGTCCAGCCTGGCCAACTTATTTCTAAGGGCAAACCCTTCCTCACTCTCTGCATTTCTAGCCCCTCTGGTCTTGCCATGTTTTTCCTATGCGTTTATCACCTTCGTTGATTCTAATCAACTTTTTATGTTTGTGGTCCGTCTCCCTCAACAAGAATGTACGTCCCGCTGTACTAACTCCTTACGTGCTTGTTGAATGAATGAGGTCCGGAGAAGCTGAATAACTTGCTTGAGTCACAGAGCTGCCCAGAGGGCCATGCCTCTCACACCAGGCACTTTGGCTCCAGAGTCTGGGCCTCTTAACCACAGAGCCAGATGGCTGGAGTACTCACTTCGCTGCTCTCCAGTGTATGTCTCACGCATGACGGAAATCCTCTTTTCTCTTTTCATGACCAAGTCTGATGATCTGAAAAAGAGAAGAGAGCCTCACATCTGTGCTTTAAGGTAAAGAAGTAATCATACTCGTCGGGTGCCTAATACGTGCCAGGCTGACTAGTCAATGCATTAAATATTACATCATACAATCGCTGTTCACGTGATTATCCCGTTTTGTGAAGGAGGAGACAGATTCTGAGAAATTAAGTAACTTCTTCCAGGCCACCTAAGTAGCAAGCGAGGGAGCTCGGGTACAAACGCGAGTCCATCCGATTCCCATTCCCGATCCCAGATTCCCAAAGATAAAACGTTCCTCGCTGTTAGTGATCAGGGACACATACTGACACCGAGCACCGTTCTTCACCTGTTAGGTTGGCAAATGTTAAAAGCAACAACTCCAGGGTCGACAGAAGTACAGATAACTTTATACACAGCTGCAGTCCTTCTTAGAGGATGGTGTGGGAAAATGTGTCAAAGCCCTTATAATTAGGATTAGCTTTTTTGTGGTAGGATGCCACTTACAAGAATTTTATCCTAAGAAAATGATTCAGGGTGTGCTCTGAGAATATTAGTCCTAAGCTATGTAAGTTGAAAGCGAGGAATGCTCTTGGGAATGGATCTCTTGAATAAACCGCAACCTCCAGGGAACAATAGTTGTGGCGTAGACCCAAATGCAGCCCAGCCTCTGGCGTGAAAAGTTACCTTGTTTGTTCTTCTAGGAAAATTCTGTTTGAAGATTTCCGGGCGTGGCTTTCGGACATTTCCAAGATTGATCTGGAGCCCACCATTGACATGTCCTGTGCTAAATATGAATTCTCAGGTGAGGACGAGAAAGCCCTGGTGTCTGTAGGATGGAAAGGCTTTAACTAAACAACGCTAGAAAGATGGTGTCGGCGTATTGAAATCCCAGACTGTGTCCCTGTATAACACTGGGGTCTTAATAAGGAAGATCTGACCAGCTCGTGTGCAGAAATGCCCGTCGCACTGGAAGGTATAACGCAGTGCGACTCTTGGGGGATATGATAAAAGCCATTGGCCATGTTTTCAGAAAAGTGCTGATAATGCTTATACACTCCAACTTGACATATAATACCAGGAAATCCAGAGGTGATACGTAAATTCTCCTCTTAGACTTCTCAGGGCACAAATGTCTTCCTCAACGTCGGTTGTGTTTTTCTTTTTTTATTTTGAAGGTAATAAGTGAATACACTCTTCAGGGAAGAAATTCAGACAACATAGAAGTGTACAGTGTGGTCCCCAATAGTGCCCTTCACCTGCCCCCACTTCTTCCCTTTCTCCTCGGGGGTGTCCGTAGTCACCAGTCTGGGTGCATCCTCCCAGCTCCCCTTCCGAGTGCATACATGTCTTTCTGAAAACCTGTTGGGTATTCTGCCTGGAAGGGAAAGTTCTGTTTCGTTTTGATTTGGGTTTAACTCCCATCCAGGAAGTTTACCTCGGTGACAACTTCTTGAGAATAACTTAAGTGATACACATGACCAGTCATATGCTGTGCCCTTTTTTAACTCTATTTTTTTTCTTTTTAATTCGAAGTAATTCCAGACTTACAGAGAAGTGGCATGTGTAATACCAATCATTTTTTTTCTGTTGTACTTGAAAGTGGGCCACAGTTGCAGGGCCCATGACCTGAGTAACTTCAGTAATTCGTACAAGGACAGTCTCCTACATCACAGTAATTGAAAACCATCAAAATCAGAGAATTAAGATTGATACGTTGTTCCCGCCTAATCCACGGGCTCCATGCGGTTCCATTCTTTGGTCCTTTGCAGCAGAGGGCGCAGGCCAGGACAGCACATTGTCATTGCACGCGCTGGTCACGGCCCCTGGTCTCCCTCGGTCTGGAGCTGTTCCATCTCCCCTGGATCTGCGTGATCTCGGTGCTGCGGGAGGTTTGCAGAGGGGTGGTTCTGTAGAACTTGCCTCGGTTTGGGCTCGTCTGGTGAGAGTCAAGCCGTGTGGTTTTGGCCGGAACACCACAGATCTCTGTTCTTTCTCTGCATCCCATTGAGTGGCACGCGGTTCCCGTGTGTTACGCACTTTGATCACTTGATGAAGGCGGTGGCTGGAGTCATTTTCCACTGTAAACTTGCCCTTTGCTGCCTGTCAGTTAACTGTTTTGTGGGGAGGTACGGTGAGATGATAGAAATTGCCCACTCCTCACCAAACTTCCACTCATTTCATTTGGCATGCACTGATACGTCATGCTGAACTATTACTGTGCAGGTTGCCAAATGGTGATTTCTGTAATGAAATCATCTCTTCTCCATTTCTTGGCTGTTCTTCTGCTGGGAAGACAACCTTTTCCTCTCCCCGTTCATTTATTTATTCATTTATGTCAGGGTGGGTTTATAGGTCAGTGTTTATGGAATGGGGGTTTATCAGTTACAGCCATTTTATTGATGCTTGTATTGTCCCTGATTTGATCAAGGGGGACCCCTTACACTGACTTCTGTGTCCTTTAGTCGTGTCCCCATAATTCATGTGCATCTTACTTTCTGAGAAAACAAGATTGTTCAGGTTTATCGTACATTTTCTGTGCTCTAGACTTAGAGTTGGCCATTGTTCCAAAGAACCCTGGTTCCTTTGAGTAAAGAATGATACTTAAAATCAAGGTCTCCTGGACTTAAGGCATTTTTGCTAGTAGAGTGTCGCTGCTCCAAGACCCTTTCAGTGGACGGAGGTAGCACACGTACATGTGCACACACATGCACTTACATGTGTGTGTATTTCTACATCTGTATTTGTATCTAGGTGTCCAGGTGAATGTCCATGCAGGCACATACATGTGTGGGAAACTAGATTCACACTGATTCCTCCAGTGCCAGTTCAGCGCCCTGGGGTACATTCTAAAGTTTGCCTTTTCCATATTTGCAATTCCCCTCTTTGACGGTGAGAAGCCTGGGTTCCATTAGCTTCACTGTATTCATTTATGAAAACCATCCCTCCATGTGTGAACAGTCTCAGTTCGCCGTAGCACCCCTTCCTGCCCCCCCCACGTCTCCCACCTTGCCCAGCCCCCCTCACGGGTGTTAGAATTTAGCTCAAGAAATTAATGGGAACAGGTACAAAAAAGATTTTTGTGCAATGATGTCCATTACAACATTTTTAATAGACAAGAAGTGGAAACAGCATAGGGGATTGATTAAAGGGGGAGGGAGGTAATTTACAACCTGTGTGGTAGAATAACTGTGTGGCCGTTAAAAGAGACGACAGGTATGTGTATCAATATGGAAAGACACTTGCCATGTGATAACAGTTTAAAAGCAGGCCGCCACACAACCGCTGGAGGATACCTTTTTTTTTTTTCAAAAGCAAATGCATGTGTGTAGAACCAGCACTGGAAGAAATGTGTAAAAATGTTGTTAGCGATCATCCCTGGGTCTGACCACACAGGTGCTGCTCAGTGTCTGTAGAGTTGACAGTCTCATAGCTGGAGGAGCTGACATGGTCCCCCATAGACGCAGGGCCCCGCCCCTGCGGCTCCTTGCCCGCACGGGTATGTGAGGTTGTGCGTTACACTTGCAGATGCCCTGCTCTGCCACGACGACGAGCTGGAGGGGCGCCGGATCGCCTTCATCCTTTACCTGGTTCCCCCCTGGGACGGGAGCCTGGGCGGCACGCTGGACTTGTACAGCGTTGATGGTAAGGCACCCGCCTGCTCTCCGACTGCCACAGCTGCTTCCCAGTCCACAGGCAGGCACAGTGTCCCCACTCCTCCTGCTGCAGTGGCTGCGGCAGGCAGGCCCGGTGTCCACCCTGACAGCGGGTGGTCCGGGTTGCGCTGGAGGTAACTGTTACTCCGGGGGCAAAGATAGAGTTGACTTATGTGTGGAATAGTCAGACCTGGCTTCTGAATGCGGACCACGGAAGGGTAGTGGCATGTGCACAAGCATGCACACGAGCGTGCACAGCTGCCCGTGGCTGTGAATCTGCCAGGATCAGCCCATTTGACAGGAAGTCGGGGTCTTTATCGTAATGACTGACCCCAGGGGTTGACTCCCAGAAACTTTCAGCCCATGTCCAATAATAGGTGGGTGGTTACCATAGAATATGGTAGAAGAACAGGGGTCACCTGAAGAACTATCAAGTCAGAGTGAAACAGCTGGATGGGGCGGTATATGGGGATCTTCAGGGATCGGAAGGGTACATCTGGCTACTCTTAGAAATCTGAGGGTTGTCAAGGTGACACGGGGTGGCCTGGGGGTGGTGAAGGGTAATGAAATCCTGTTTGTGGACGTGTTCTTTCCTGGTGCAGAATACTGTCAGCCGAAGCAGATCGTCAAGTCGCTCACCCCTTCCTGGAACACGCTGGTTTTCTTTGAAGTGTCTCCAGTGTCCTTCCACCAGGTAAAGACGCTGAGCTGCAGTGTGTAGCACACTGAGGACCAGCCTGTGGTCGCCCGTTGTCTAAACAAGGCAGCTTTCCCTTGGACTTCCCGGCCCGATTGTCTCCACCCTGATGGGGGAAGGGGGGTCTCCCCGGAGTCTGTGCGCCTCAGCCGGTCGTCTTCCTCCTCGTTCTTTGTGCTGACGCACCATCGGTCTTATCCTTTCAGGTGTCTGAAGTCCTGTCCGAAGAAAAGTCACGTTTGTCTATAAGCGGCTGGTTTCACGGCCCCTCGCTGGCCAGGCCCCCTGCCTACTTTGAGCCTCCCGTCCCTCGGAGCCCTCACGTCCCGCAAGACGTAAGGATGGGTTCCTGCCGCTGGGCTCTGGTCTCAGCTGCCGTAACCTAGTGCGTGTGTTTGTGGCTTAGGAAGGGGCTGTTCCCGATAACGCAGCTAGACCTGGAGCTTGCCCTTCCATTTTCCTTAGATACACGGGGACAGCGTCCTCCTTGGGGGATTTCCCAGTGCTGTGTTTAGCAAGGAGACAGTGCTAAAGGGAGGATTTGCGTGTGATATGTTACTGCTGTGAAATGCTATGAGAACAAAAGCAGTAGGAATTACTAACTCACCTTTTGCGTCTGCTGTTGCTTTGCAAGCATGAAGTTCTGTGTGAGTGGATCAACCCTACTTATCTGGACGTGGGTCACCAAATTCAAATTCAAGAAGAGTTTGAGGAACAGTCTGAAATCCTCCTGAAGGATTTCCTTCAGGTAGGTCCACACCTTGTGTCTGGTGTAGCCTGTTGGCCGCGGTCTTGCTCCTTGGGCGGGTGAAGAGGCATCACCGGGGGGGGTTTGTTGCTGTTTAGAATGTTTACGCCACCCTCCACTTCAAATAAAGTACAGAAATGATGTTAATAGCTAACCGTGGTATCAACTGCATGCTTACTAGGTTGAGTCCCTTGGGCGTTCTCCAGGTCTCTAGAATCTTAATGGCACACTCCCTCTCTCTCTCTCTCTGTCTTCTATACCGAGAGGGAGTTGTGCGTCATTCCCTTCCTATTCATTCATTTGATGACTCTGGTGCATACTGTTACTTTTAGTGACGGACAGATTGCTAATTGATCAGCACCTATTGATGAATGTTGGTGGTGATGAGGCCGCACTTCACAGTAGGGAGAGAGCCAGACCAGAAGTCAGAGACCTTATGTTCACGTCCAGGGATTTCACTGGCCTGACCAAATCGCTCGGTCTGCCTGAGCTTTTCGCCCACCTCGGAGAGTTGCACGGGCTGGACGAATCCATGCACCCTGGGGCTCTGACCCGGAGTCCCACGGGATCACAGTCCCGAAGCTATTCTTCATGAAAAAAAGGTCAACAGACAATGCGTACTCTCTCTCTCTCTCTGTCTCAGAATTTTATAGCTGACATTAGCATACTAAGGAATTTCAGAAGTACTGCAGGAAGTTGTTTAACCCTGTTTAATCCAGCTTGCCCAAACCATGCTCTGGGCCCCTTTTCTCCCCACTGCTGATAGGCCCGCTGTCTCCAGAACACTCTGTGGGCAGCTGCATTAAGCAAGCACACAGCAGGCCTCCTGGGGGACTGTTTCAGCAGGTTAATCAGCTGCTTGGACTGAACCTGATGTTTTAAATCACGGTGTTGACCAAATGAAGGGACAGAGCCAAGGCCTAGAAAATTCACGCGGCTACACAGGTCCTCGCTGTGATGTCTGTGACTGTTTGCAGTTTGATTTTCCCCTCACATCTTGTGAACTAAGGAGTCTGTATTATGATCCTCATTCATAAATGAAGGAATTTGAAAGGTTGAGCAATTTGACGTAAGTCAAACAGCTACTTAAGGAAATGGCCCGGACTGACACTTGGGTCTCTTGGCTAAAGCGTGCTGACAATTTGCTCTGGCTTCACTGCACAGGACCGGGGAACCCTGAATGAAAGCAGGGAGCACCCCCTGACCCCGGCAGGCATCAGCCCGATTCTGCAGAGCTGCTGCACCTGGGAGACCAGCGTGGGGTGCCAGCTCCCTGCATGACTTTGCTGACTGCTTTTTTATTTGTTTGTTTTGCAGCCTGAGAAATTTGCAGAGGTCTGCGAGGCTTTGGAGAAAGGAGGGGTGAAGTGGAGCAGCCGAGGTCCCCCTAACAAAAGGTAGAACCTGTCATCCAAGACATTGTCTTCTGCATTTGGCACCTGCCTGTGTGTCTGCACGGCTCACCTCCAGTAATGGAACGTGTGCCCTAGCAGTGTCCAGGGACATCCAGTAGCGGGCCCAGCCAGGACCTCACTGTTGATACAGCATGTGCTTTAGTAAGCTGTGCCAGGCACCGGGGTCAGTGGCACAACGCTGACAGCCAGCTTGCTTCCGTGAGTAATTTCACGTCTGCGGTGCTCATGGGAACTGCCATTGCTGCTTTCCAGGTTTTACGAGAGAGCCGAGGAGAGCACGCTCCCCGATGTACTGAGGGACTGCATGAGGTTATTCCGCTCCGAGGCGCTGTTCTTGCTGCTGTCCAACTTCACAGGCCTCCGGCTTCACTTCCTGGCCCCTTCAGAAGAAGGTGGGATGGAGGACACAGCAGAGGGAGAAGCGGCCTCTGCTTCAGACAGCACTGACGAAGGGACGAGCGGTAGCTCCTTCGAGCCACAGGACAGTCAGGCTGCCAGCAGCAGCAGCAGCCGGCGGAGCAGTGAGCGGACAGACCCAGAGCCAGAGGAACAGGAAGCCGAGAAAGGTGAGCTGCAGTTACTGCTTGTCCCGGTTCTCCACTATGCGCTCACCACTGAGCCATTTGCTCCATGAGTACTTCTCAAGCACCTGCTGTCTGCTAGGTCCTGTTTCAGAAGCTGGAGCGTGAAACAGACGAGGCCCCTGCTGTCCTTGACCTTACACTCTGAAAGGAGAGGACAGATTAAATGCGTACACCAACAACTGGAAAACATCAAATGATGACAAGTGCCACGCAGATCATTTTCATAGGGTCTTGCACTGAGCAGTGGCTGGCTGTGTGGCCGCTTAGTTGGATGGGTGTCTAGAAAAGCTGTCGGCTGAGCTCGGATCTGAGTGACAGGAAGGATCTGTGGGAAGAGCTTTCCAGGTGGGGGGAACAGCTGGTACATTTTATCAGTGCAAACAGTGCAAAAAACTACCAATTTTTGTGTCAAAATTACTCCAAGACACAAGACCATTGAGGAGAGGAAGGTATACAGCTTATTTCTGCTATGGACCAGTAACAGGCTAAGAAAAATGTGCTGGAATTTGGACAAATAGGGAGAAGGAAGTTATTAAAAGTAGAAGAAAATGGAAGAAATTTAAGAGGTAACGCTTCTATGGAAATTTGGCCCCGTTAACTCAGCAGCTACAAATCCAGCGTAAATGTTACAGTGTGCACAAAGTGCATCTCGAAGTCTGTTCCCTGCTTCCACTCTGATTTCTTGAGAAGGACCCTGTGCATTAGAAGAGCGAAGATAAGAAAGGGGAACCCCGTGGAAGTAAGACCAGCGGTGTGAGATAGCCGCCACAAACAGTTCGACTTCAGTTCCACGGGCTCCCATCCCCGGCTGGCCTGTCGCTTTGGTCACCAAGATATGTGGAAAAAACAAAGTATTTCTCTGCTTCTCTTCCTTTTTGGTTTCATTTTTATGGGAATCTACAACTTGGAAGAAAATTTATACGAGCAACCAAAAGATGCTTTGTTCCGTGATTGAGCATCGACTGTGTGCAAGGCTGTGGCCATAGCAAGTGGGGAACACAGAAGTAAATGAGAAAAGCCACTGTTCACAAAGTTCCCTGTCTTAAAGGAAGGCTCTCGGGTCGCCGAGGCAGCCTCAGCTGTTAACGTTGGCATGGCTACGGCACGTGGTCGGATAGCCAGACCTGAAGTTTTTGCTTTTTAAAATATGTAGACAAATAATACCGATTTCAGAATGTTTTGGAAACCAGTCATCATCGTTCCCTGGCAAACCAGCAGCACTATCGAGGTTATTTTCATCTTTTTCTGACCTCCTATTGTTTTTTCTTAGGACCCAGTATCCCCACCTGCCAGGGGGAACTGAGGCGCTGGAAGACTGGTCACTACACTCTGATCCATGACAACGGCAAGACCGAGTTCGCCCTGGACTTAATTCTCTACTGCGGCTGTGAAGGTAAGAGAGGGGGCGGGAAGCCGGGAATTGTTTCCTCCAGGGGCAGTCTCTGCTGCGGGCCCCTCTCCCACTGAGCCAGCCCAGAAGTCCTTGCCATGTCGAGGGTCTCACACCAAAGGGCTCAGTGTGGGCGGAATCTTTGGGGTCACAAGTTCCAGGCTCCCGACCCAGCGTGGGGTTCCTGTGTGTACCTCGGGTATGGGAGGTGGCCCGGACCATAATTCCCCTCCAGGGCCTCCCCCCACCACAATCTACAGCTTTTGTGTGATTGTCCTTGCCCTTTACGTTTAATTCTTAGTTCTTATTTGACATGGATTGAATGGTAAACTCAGGCTCGTAAGTCATGGAGTTGGTTACTGCCAAACTCCCACGTTCCCCTCCCCCACCCCCATCACAGCCAGGACCATGGGCATCTCAGCAGGTGACAGTGACCCACACTTGCAGTCCCAGCCCTCTGAACACCTGTCTGTTCTCCCCTCGGAAGGTTGGGAGCCGGAATACGGCGGCTTTACCTCCTACATTGCCAAAGGTGAAGACGAAGAGGTAAGTTGCTTCTCATAGCGAACTGTCTCTTTAGTTTTGAGGACGCTTTCATTCTTCAAAAAAACAGTTTTTATGGCCTTCGGCCTGTGTCTTTAACTGATAAATCCACGTTGGTCTGCCTGGCAGTGATCTGATTCCTAGTAGGAAGTACTCAGCATGGAATGAAGAAGCTAAAGGATGATTCCTAAGCATTTATTTAGTCTACCCTGAGATCCCAAATAAATTTAAGAGTCACGTGGTCCACTGCCGTTAACCTTCAACGTGAAGAAAAACAGACATGTTAGGTCAGACCTGCCGGACACACACAGAAATGGGGTTCGCAGGCCCCACAGACACCAGCTGTTCAGTGACAAGTCACTGAAGCAAAGAGTTGAGAATAAGCTCTGTGTTCTGACGTGTCCTTGGATTTGCCTGTTTCAGCTGCTAACTGTGAATCCAGAAAACAATTCTTTGGCATTGGTCTACAGAGACAGAGAGACTCTTAAATTTGTCAAGCACATCAACCACCGGAGCCTAGAACAAAAGAAAACCTTCCCCAACAGAACCGGTTTCTGGGACTTCTCGTTCGTCTATTACGAGTGACGGGGCTGGGCACAGCTGCAAGAGACCCTCCTCGGGCACTGGGGGGTCTGGGAGAGCTGGGCGTGGGGCAGAGGGGAGCTACAGCTGGCCTGGCTGGCACCGTCCCTAAAACTGCCCGCGGTTGTCCTCAGTCTGGACCTTGAACTTGGAGGTGTATGTGTACTTCTCCCTTGATTGAAAAGGTGTTTCTTTTTCTTCAGCATTCGGTTCTTCCTTTTCCATATTGACCACTTCGGTGATTTAAAGGTGCGGGGTTTTTTGTAAAATGTGCATGACATAAACTGACCATTGTAACCATTTATAGTGTACGGTTCCGTGACATTGAGCACACTCACATTATCGCGCAGCCTTCGCCACCCCCCATCCCCAGAACTTCCCATCTCCACAGACTGCAGCTCTGCCCCGTTCCCTCTGCCAGCCCCCAGCATCCACCATTCTCCTTTCTGTCTCTGAATCTGCTACCTGTGTTCCTCACGTGAGTGGACTAATACCTGTTTCACTTAGCATGAAATCTTCAGGATTCATCCATGATTGCAGGGATTTTTCATTGAATGCACTCAAATGATTGCAGACCCTGCTCTTCCTGATGACTCGGGTTTAGAAAACTACAGAACCTTCGGTGCATCCTGTTCGGACCCCTCAGGTTTCCACTGCCCGCGGCTTTGTTCTGCTCTGACTTGCCCAGGACGTGCACCAGCTCTTTCCTGTGGTTTGCATTTAAATGAAGGAAATGAGGTTCGCTTTCTTCTAGGTTAATGGTTTCATCTTTTTTTAATCCTCACCCAGGGATATGTTTATTGATGTTAGAGCAGAAGGAAGAAAGAGAGAAACATCAACTGATTGCCTCTCGTACACACTCCTACTGGGGATCAAACTTGCAACCGAGGCCTGTGCCCTCACTGGGAATTGAACCCACAGCCTTTAGGTGTGTGAGACGGCGCTGCAACCAACTGGGCCACCAAGACAGGGCTCATCAATTACTTGATTTTGCACCCCAGTCAGTAGAAATTGTTTTAACTTGTGTGCCCACTATATGGATATTTATCTATACATCTTACGCATGTACTAATATTCAGTATTGCTATAAAACAAACACTGACTTTTTAAAGGATAATCTAAAAAGAAATACATAAAACTGGTTCTCCTATTATCTTCCTACGTTCACAGTAATGGATGATTTCACAGGGGCACAGTTTTGGAGACCACAGTTTTAAACCATGGTATAGTGACAGGTGAGATTACAGCCACTCTGTTAATTTACGATTTACATTTCAAAGCTTGCCTTTTAAGTTCTTGCAGCTGCGGCAGCCATCCCTAAATTACTTCCATCCACTTCCTGATGTGTTTTCCTGGAGTGGGAGAGATTGGGGTTGAGGTTCTAGTTAGGCCCCAGGTGGCAGAACCCCAGGAATGTCCAAGGGGAAGTGCTGGGTGGGCGAGACCCTGGTGTGTGCTAAGCCCAGGGAGTAGTTTCCATCCCGGCCCTAGGTAGCGTCTAAGAGGCCACCTAAACTTCACCGGTTCTGGAGCACTGTGTTGGAGTCTTGGCACACTTCCCAGGTGTTAAAATGTGCTCACCCTTCCTCTGTAATCTCGGTGTGTCTGTGGTCCAACCCCACAGCAGAATCCCCTGCACACTGCAAAGAAGAGCTCACTGCCAAGGGGGGTGAACCCCCGAGAGCCAGACCCCCCTGTTGCGGGGAGCCCCGGTGCCTACAGCAGCCCCTCAGACTGTGCGGATGCTGTAACTCAAGGCCACTTTCTGTATTCCAGGTCGCCAGCGATCAGAAGCGGCTTTTCCTTAGTACTTTGTTCTTCATCTTGATTTTCAGGGCTAGAGCCAGGGTTGACAACTAAGTGGCAAAGAGGAATTAAGCATTAAGTTTTTCTGCTGCTTTCAGATAAAAGCTGTGGTGTTCACCCGGATAACGTATGGCCTCTTCTTTCTTGATGCTTAATAGTGAACCTCAGGTTCTTGGTGATTCCTTTTAGTAAAGGAAGACTGTTTTCCTCAAAGAGAATAGCTTTATATGTTCTTGAGATTATATGAATAATACATGTTCATTGTAAGGAATTAAGGCAACATGTGAAAATACAAAGCAATGGTCACCTGGAATCCCACCATCCATGACAACCCCCGTGTGTGCTGTGTCGGCCTGGCTAGACTGGCCTGCACTTCCCAGAATCCCCTCCCCGTGTTTCCGTCAGAGTGAGCCACAAATTCTTAGGTGGAATCTGGAGGGCCAGAGTGAAGTAACGGACACCGGAGCTCACACACGTCTACGAGCATCCACTGGCTCACCTCGGCCGTGTCGCTGAGCATGGGGCGTGCCGCCGATCCACTTCCTGAGCATCCTCCTTCAGCTTCTCTGACGAAGGGTCTCCATTTCTATAGGACGCTCACAACATCACGGTCAGGATTCAGAAAGGACACAGGTACGTGTCCTCACGGGCTGCAGCTCATCCCGTACATTCCAGCTTGTTCTGGTCCTTCCTACTTTTACATCCCTTCCGACAGCCTGTCCCACGGGCTTCTAGGTCCAGCGTCAGACAGTGCAGCCGTAAAGAGACCACTTCGGCACGTCAGTGGATTGTGTAAGGTCAGATCCCCAAACCAAATCCTCTAATAAGTTACCCGTGATGGAAATTAAGAACATTTTCATAAAGTTATTTTGAGAGCATGTTAGCATTTCTATTAAGAGGAAGAAAAATAAAATATTTAATGAAGAACCCCATAAATAATCCGTAACTGCAGTCCCTCATCTGAAAGTTGTAGAAAATGAAGCTTAGAAGAGAAAGAGGCTGTTAGGTTTGGAACCTGGCTTTTCTCCTGCTTATTGATCGTCTCCCAGACTCCACCGAGTGTGGTGGCCTCTCTCTCCCGCAGAAAGCCAACAAATGCTGACAACCCTCAGGCCGTCCCTCCCAGACAGGTCATTTCCCAACATGAGGCTTTCGGCTGCGGTTAGCTCTTCGATGCCAGCACACACCTGCCAACTGGGCGAGAAACTACGAATCCCGTGGGAGGGTCCTTGATAAAGCCACAGCTGAGGCTGGCTGGCCAGCCTTCACGCACTAGCAGGGGCCTGCACGCAGCCCGGGATGGCTATGAATGCGACCCAACACAAAATTGCAAATTTACTTAAAACCTTTGTTTGTTTCGCTCATCAGTTATTGTTAGTGTTTGTGTATTTAAGGCGTGGCCCAGAGACACCAAAGGGTCGGGCACCCCTATTCCTACAGCAACAGATGATCCCCTCCAATTGCCACGAAGTTAGTCCCCAGAGACAGTTTTGAAAACTACTTAGGAGTTGCCCATGTGGTATCATTTTAGGGAAAGCAGATTTCTGCACCACGCAAATAAAAAGAACTCGGGAGCTAGAGCACATAGCGTGGGCAGGGGCCAGATGGGAACAAGGCAGAACGCACGGCACCAGGCTGCCTGGGGGTCGTCTTGGACTTCAGTCTCAAAGCGGAACTGGAGATCGTTTATTTCTGGGATCACAGGGCTCTGCTCTGGCAGATTTGCAACTGCTAATGATAAAATCTGAAACTTTAATAATGTTCAAAATCATTCTTGTAAAGCCCTCCCAGCGTTGCATAATAGTTGTGAAGTTCCCAGTTCTTTGCCAACAGGCCAACTGAGGACAGGTAGCCCGGTGAGAGCTGCAGATGCCTGTCTGTGCTGAAGGCATTCACTCAGCACCATCGGGAGATAAAGCCAATTAGGACACAGTCCTGCCCTCCCTGAATAGGGGACTAAGATTTACGTAAACACAGGATGCAGTGAGGGATAAGGAATAGACCAGGGAGAGGGAAGGCCGGAGAAGAGAGCGTTTCAACTGAGCCCTGACGTCTGTGCATGGGCAGACGTGGTGAGAAAGAATAATAAAAACCATTCTCTCTAGAAGAAGCTGAGCACTGGGTAGCGGTGACTGTCCTTTAAAGGGGATGCGCAGACAATTGATGGGGAAGCTTTCTCCCAGATACCAGAATTCTCAAGATCAGCTTTTACATGGAGGCCGGCTGTTTGCTTAAAGCTTCAACAAAGCCTAGAAACAAAACGAAGCTTCCAGTGTAGCTCCCAGAAGGCACTCAGAGTCTATCAAGGTAGAAAAATAGGGACGTACCTCCTAACCAGTTTTTCTCATCCCTAAGCCGAGCAAGGCGACTTCTAAGATAAGAAAGGTAACTGAGTGTTTTCCGAACATTTTCACCTGGTCCAGTCTCCCTTGCGTGGGAACACGCCAGGATAGCAGAAAGGGCCGTGACTGCTTGGTTTCAGACTTCCGCACACACCGAGCTCTGGGGCCCCCTAGAAAACATTCCACTCTAAGCTCAGAGATACTAATATCAAGAGCATCAAATTAATGTGAAAATAAAACTGAGAACCTATAAATCGGGAGTATTAAAAAAAAACATCTTGCTGCAGGTTGATCCCTTCAAGCCTTGTCCATGAATGTTTTTTAGGTTCAGAAGGAAGTATTTTGGCTGAAGAATGGCAGAATGACCCTTGATTAGGTTACTCTGTTAGGGTCCCTAGAAATGAAAAGGGCCGTATAGTTTAAAGCTGGCCGGACGAGAGGTTTCTATCGCAGGGAGGACTGGGGGAGACTGAGAAGGACTCAACAGCAGGAATCGAGTTTTGCCCGCAGCTGTGTCTCCGGCCAGTAAGGAGTCCCTGCCCTTCCATTTCCGCAGCTGTGAAGCAGAGAAGGGTCTTTACTACTTCGGGGACTAGAGACAATAACACAGCAAATGCAGATGTCTCCAGTTTACAGTTTGAAAATGCAAAAAAAACAAAGCTATAATGAGGCATAATCTCACTGAAATCAGGACTGCCTGAAGCTCGCCCTGCAGAAACAGACTCGCTCATCCTTGATGGCCAATTGGAGGAAACTAAACAAGTTCATGTGCCGCAGAGGAAAGGCCCCTCCCCCTCAACCTCTCACAAGTGCTATTAAGATGTGAAAATGGACTGAAGCAGTCCTGAAATCTACCTTAGGGCAAAATTTTAACTCTTAGAAAAGGAGTAGCCAGCCGTTGGCATGGCCTTGGCTCTCAGCCCGGCAGGCACACTGCTGGGCTGCATTTCGGGGCTGCGGCAGGCTGGTGGGGCCACATGAGCCAATGGAACGTGAGTGGAAATGAGAGCGGGCCATTTCCAGACCACGGCCTTGAGAAGCAGTTCCTTTCTTGCCAGCTTGGGTGTGAACAACTGCAAGACCCTAGGACAACCCCTCCCCAGAGGGTCCCCGGTGAGAGAGGGAGGCCCCGATGCCACTGGGTCTTCCTGG